ACTGTGGGAAGAGGAAAGGATCTGGGAAACCACCAGTTTAACCTGTTCAATTTGTACATGAATAAACTGAGGCCAGTGTGAGGCACCCCAAACTGAACTTCCTAGCCAGGTGAGGCTGAAGTAGGCAACACCAATGACTGACTGTCTCTTCTCCACAGAAGAAAACATGTATGTGTCTATATTTATGTTTTTAAAAAATCCCTGTCAGAAAATAGCTAGCAAGGAAAAAAATGCTTGCTTTTAAGAGGTAATTTACAAATAAAATATTGTAGGTATGTTTCTTTCTCTCCATTAAGTGAAGCTATTTTCTCAAAACATATAAATTTCAATAAGAAATTCTCTAACCCTAAAGGTTACAGTATTGCTGTGGCTATGTATGTAAAGATGGGAGAATATAAACATGACCATGATCTAGCAAAGCAAAAAGTGATGCTGAAGGCTGAAAATAACCTGCTGTGGAGGGATGGCCAGAAGGAGGAGTGCTGATGAGGCAAGCAGACTGCAGTGTGAATGCAGAAGCCAGCAGGTGACGGGCGTGTGCATTTATTATTATTTCAAGTTGGCCTTAAGTATGAGGACTTTCATACTGTATGTTTGAAAACTCTGCCAGCAATGAGATTATCCAAAGAAACTTCCAGAAAATATCTCTGGGTATAAAGCTACAGGAGGAAAAGAAGATGAAAACTTTCCTAACTTAGTAATGAAAAACACTGTGGAGAAACAATTTATATAAAAAGACAAAAGCTCAGTGTGTAATGTGAACAGTAGTCATTTTTACCACAGCAAAAAAAACGAAGTGGGAAACAAGCATGAAAATCAGACTGAAGCGAAGGAATTGGCATATATTTTCAACCATTTGGACATGCAACCCCTACCTCCAGGCTTTTCCAGTACAAGGGCCTAAACACAGGACCTTTGCACTGAGCTTTTTTGAGACAGGGACTCATTATGTTGCCGGGCTGGGTTTTAAGTAGCAATCTTCCTAGCTCAGCCTCCCGGAGTCCTGGGATTAATGTTGTGCACCACCACACCTAGCTTGGATTTTTAGTTATGTGGCTGCCATACGTGGATCCCACAACACACGAAAACGAATGGCTAAAATTAAATATTAAAATGGTAATACCCAATGTTGGTAAGTATGTGGAAAAACAGGTTTCCATTCATTTCTGTAAGGAGTTTGATTAAAAACTCAACAGTGTATGAGTATATGAACAACAAACACGACAGGATGTTCACAAATACCATTCTTCTTAACCCCAAATGCAAACAACCTGTCTGCCCACTAAAGGTAGAATGGAAAAGGGAAGAGAATTCTGTACTCTCACAATGTGAACAAAGTACTGCTACATGAACAACACAGATCAATCTCCAAATCACAATGTTAGAAACTGGGCAGAACCAACTTAATGTATCCTGGCTTAGGGATGATAGTTCCACGCAGGGAAGAGGCTGGGGTAAAGACTGGAAGGGATGTGACAGGGTTGTGATGCTGTGTGTTCTGTTAACCAGGATGGTTGTCTCAGTGGCTCACTATATGATGATTTTAATATTAAGCTATTTCTATTTCTATATTCTTTATGATATCTTTATTTTACAAAATTCTTTATTTTTATCTAAAGAAAAACTTGTCAGAAAATAACGATTTAAAGAATAACCTATAAAGTACAAAGAACATTTTGACAAAAAAGCCTATGGGGTGGGGTTTCTTTTTTAAATATAGGGTCTTACTATGGTCTTGAACTCACTATGTATCCCATGCTGGCCTCAAACTCATGATCCTCCTCTGTCTCAGCTTCCCAGTGCTGGTGGTTTCATGAACTTACCAAAATCATATTTTTAAATTGATAACTGCATATTGAAAAATATTTTCTTGTATTTAGATGCTGCATAGATAAAACTAGAAAGATGGAACAAAAACTGCTAGGATGTTTTAAAGTAACAAACTGTTTCCTGATTTTTTGGTGCTGGGGATGGAAACCAGGGCCTGGAGGATGCTGAGCACACACTCCATCACTGATCTCCCCCAAGCCCTAATGACTGCCTGTTTAATATAAATTGACAATTTTACTTTTTGAAGCTTTATTTTTTTTTAAATTAAAGTACTCACTTGATACAAAATGAAATATAATCAAAGCTAGGAGTGGTGGTGCACACCTATAAGTAATCGCAGCATGTAGGAAGATCGCTGCAAGATTGAGGCCAGCCTGGGTTACACAGTGAGTTCAAGGCCAGCCTGAACTACATAATAAGCAAGACCCTATCTCTAAAAAAACAACCAAAATTAAATACATTTGTTTTGTTTTACAAAATGTTATTATTTCAATTTCTTTCTCCCCCTTCGTTTTTTTTTTTTTTTTTTTTGGTGGCAGTGTTGGGGATAGAACTTTGGACCTCTGGCAAATTAGACAAGTGTCTACCAGAGATGCAACCTAAGCAATAACCCTCAATGTATATTCACCTTTTTTTTTTTTAAGATGACTAAAACCAAGAATAAACACCGTGTTACTGTAATGCACTTCCTAGGCAATAAATACTTTCTTTGTAAGTAGAATTAGCAAACACAATTTCGGGTGCAAATAAGCTTCTAGGAAAACACAGCAGTTTGAACACAAATTTATCTTTATTCCCACTGCAAGAGAAACTTACCTTCTGGAGAAACTAAACCAGAAAGGGTAATGACTTAGGAGATACATACACTGAAAGTTAAGGGGTGGGGAATCAATCACATAAAATTGGTGATGAGGCCACAGTTAAAGAGTATCCCCTGAATTCAGCTTCAAGAATGCAGGACCTTATATTTAGCAGAATACCTACCCCCAAACAGCCAAACAACAAAAATCAGAAGAGGAACAGAGTCTCTCTTTGAGGGCTTCTAATTACCAAATTGGTACATCAGGGATCACTCTGAAATGGCAATCATCAGTGACAAATAATAACCACATACCCAGAGCTTCCAGTAGTGTATGTATATCCCATAAAATGTGAAATGAACCCATAAAATTCACCAACATTTGAGAATTGTGAGAATGCAATAACTACACAGAAAATAGAATTTCAAACTACCAGATTTACCAGCCATGGTAGTGCTCTACTGTGATCTCAGCTAGGAGGCTGAGGCAAGAAATTGTCAAGTTTAAGCCCAGGGCAACTTAGGAATTTAGCAAGAAGCTTGTAGACACACACACACACACACACACACACACACACACACACACAAAAGGCAGGAAGGCTAGCTATGTAGATCAGGATAAGGCCTGGTGTTCAAGTACAAGTAGTGGAGGGAGGGAAGGAGCAAGAGAGGGAAAGACACACACACACACACACACACACACACACACACAACAAACACAGAACCAGCATTAATACTCTCAGGAGAGATGAGAATACAGTATCCAGTAAGTAAACAGTGACAACTAGTAATTAAAAGTTTTTAAAAATTAAAACAAGAAAATTCAAGTAAAAATTCAATAACATGATGATAAAGTCAAAGGAATTTCCAAAAAATAGATAAAAAAGAAAAGTCAGAGAAAATGAAAAGAAATTCACACGAGGAGCCATTACTAAAGGAAATGGATCACCAGGCCAGAAATATCCACTAAAAAGAAATACCCACTTCAATAAAAAAAAATCTGTCAAAATACACAAAACTGTGGTAACCAACACAGTATGCTATTAGCACAAAAACAAATACATAAACAGAGTCTAGAAGTAAACCCATGCATCTAACTGCCAAGCAATTTTCAACAAAGGTGCTAAGAACATAAATGGGAAAAGCAATAAATCTTGCTGGTGAAATTGAGTATTTGCATGTACGAGAATGAAACTGTACTTCTTACCCTCCCCCGGTTACAAAAATCAGCTCAAAGACTAGTACGCTGGCCCATACCTATAATCCCAGATACTTGGGAGGTGTTCACAGACAGAGTGCAAGTTCAGTATCAGCCAGGGCAAACTGGTGAGACACTATCTCAAAATTTAAAACTTAGCTCAGTAGCAGAGTGCTTGCCTGGCACACAGAAAGCCCTATGGTTCAGTCCCAAGCACCGGGGAGTATGTGCATGTGAACTCAAAATGAACTAAAAAGACTCAGTTGTAAGATCTGAAACTCTAAACTACTAGAAGAAAATATATTGGAAATACTTTGGTATATTGGAATGGGCAAGAACCACAAAAGCAAGGAAACAAAGGCAAAAATGAGACAAACAGAATTATATCAAACTAAAAAGTTTCTGTATAGCTGAGGAAGCAATCATATCAGAGTGAGCGATAATGTACAGAGTGGGAGATAATATTTGAAAACTATTTATCTGACAAGGGGTTAATATCTAGAATACCTATGGAATGCCAATACTTCCATAGCAAAAAAAATGCCCCACACAACAACAACAATCACCACCACCAGCACCACCACCACTTAGGTAGATAAAATATAAAAATGGCCAAGAGGTACATAAAAAATGCTCAATATCATTAATCACCAAGGAAACACAAATAAAACCACAGTGAAGTCCCACCTCACTCCAATGACAATGACTATTACTAGAGACAACAAGTGCTAGGGCTACTGTTCATGTAGAGGAAAGGGAGCCTGTGAACACTGTCGATGGAAATGTAAATACAGCCATTAGGGAAAACAACGTGGATGTTCCTCAAAAAATTAAAAAACACAACTACCATAGGATCTGGCAATCCTTCTGGATATATTCAAATGAAATAAAACCAGTATGTCAAAGGGAGATCTGCAGCCATACCCACAATAGCTAAGAAACAGAAATACCCTAAGTGTCCATCAACTGATGAAGAAAAATGAGGCACATACACATAATGGAATACTGTTCATCCATAAAAAGGATGAAATTCTTCTTTTGCAAAAATACAGAGGGCAGTGAAGATCACTGTATCGATCCAAGGAAGCCAGAACAAACACAAGTGGCACACAAACACATTCACATGTGCAATCTGAATGTACTAATCGCACTGATGCTGAAGGCAGAATGATGGTTAGTTACCAGAGGCTGAAAAGAACAGATGAGAGGGAGGAATGAGGTAAGGTTATCAATCAGTACTGTACTAAGGTACTACTAGGAGCAAGAGGTTCCAGTAGGCTTTTCTACAAGAGGTACTATAGATAACAATTATGTACAATGCATTTCAAAAAAGCTGTAATAAAGGATTCTAGAGTACTGCATTTTTAAGATAAAGACATGATAAATGTTGGAGATGGATATGTTATAACCTGATTTCAACATTACACAATTTATATATGTATCAAAATGTCACAAGGTCCCCATTAAAGAAAAAAAAAGACCCTACCTAATCATCATCATGAAACTTGAGAATATCATAAATAAAGAAAAGATTGCAAGATCTTCTAGAGGTGGAAAAAAATCGACCACATACAAAAGAACAGGAACCATAACAGTAAGCCTGGGTGCTAGAAGATAATCAGTGCCATAAGATTTTTAAAGGAAAATGACTTTTCAATCTAGAATTGTGTATCTTGCTAACCTATTAAGAGTAGGGTAGGACTGGGCATACAGCTCAGTGACACAGCACCAGCCTAGCAGGTGTGAATCCCGTGTTCAATCTTCTGTACTGGGAAAAAAAGAGTAAGGGTGTGTCACAGACTCTTCTACACATACCGAGTGTTAAGTGTTAAATTATTGCAGAAAGCACAATGACAGAGTATACCAGCAAAAGGAAATAAATGGAATTCAAGATGTGATTCCACAAGGAAGGATTTCCTAATAGAATCAAAAATTTTAGAACGTGACAGTCAAATTTACGTTTTTCTTTTGTAATTAATATCATTATCTTCATAAATGGAAAATCTGCTTTAAAGATCTTTTCAGCAAATACTATAAAAGACCCAAAGCAGGGTAAATGGAGTGGTGGGAATAACTAATTCAAGGTATATTTGGCAGATGTGGTGGTGTGTGCCTGTGAGGCTGAGACAAGATTCCAAGTTGAGCTAAGCCTAGGCTTCTTAGTCTGAGTTCAATCTCCAGCACTTTTTAAAAAGATGCAGGAGGAATATGAGAAAAATAGCTTTAAGGGAGACCCTACAGGAGATACATCAAGAAAACAGTCCATATTTCCTCGTTCAGGATTAAAGTTTTATTTCTTTTTAAGTAATATTTCTAGTTTCAATAAATCTACTACATCTTGACTATTCTCTTGCTAAATCTACCAGAAAGTAATTTTTCAATACTCTTGAGAATTAACAGTAAATCTTGGCACACTTTATGACTTTGATAGGTTCATTAAAATGTCAGTCATCAAACCAGATCGATTCATCATGATTTCACATGACTCAAATGGCCATTGCCTTCTTTTCCCCCAATAAACTCTTAATTTTCCTCTTTAGGAGAGCTACTTTCTGCTCTAATTCTACAGCCAGCAAGAGAATTAATAAAACAACTTAAAAAACTACTGTTTCATTGCTTCAACTCCATTTATTTTTGGCTTTTAAGATTTTTGTCATTAAACTTTTGGTCTTTTCACAAAACTGATGAGGTAAACAGTAAATAAAATAGATATTGTATTAACTTACATGTAATAGTAATTTAAATTCACTTTAACTATGGGAAACAGATTTACTCACCTGCGACCACAATCTGAGTATTTACCAATATTTTTTAATATTAAGGCAGCTGTTAGTCGGATGTGTTTAGTTATTGGTCCCTCTTTTTCATCCTTAAAAAGAAAGAAAAATATAAAAGAAAAAAGAATAAAGATCTAAATCGTACAAGGTTGTACTTTCACGGTTAAGGTTTTCAAGGCACGCTTACTGTAAAATCTCGAAAGACAAGATTTCTGGATCCTCTCCTGAGAGCCATGAGCGCAGCACTGGGATGATTCACAATGGCCTTTTGTGCTCTAGGAGTTGAGCTTGTGCCCCCTACAGCCGGCTGCCTAAATCGATCAGAGAGATAAGACTGTTGACACAATACTGCTCGCAAAGACTGACAACAGTAACTAATCTGCCAAGCCCATGAGGTCATTACTCTGAAAATTTGGATATGTGCTAAGAGGTCCAAGGCCCACCATTAATATTTATGTTTTGTGTCAGCCTAGGCAAGGAAGTGCTTAGTGTTGAGGTGAAGGGTCAGTTTTCTTAATTTCCAACCTATCATTTCAAAGCAAACAACAGATGCTCCAGTATGAATCATCTTTAAAATAACAATGCTGGAGAAGTAGTAGAATTTTAATACTTGAATGTCCCTTTATATATATATATA